ACGATAACCATTGATAATTTCCTACCATTTTGTCTGTAATTTGCTGTCCCCCTATTATTATGTTATCCTTCTTTTATTCTTTAAAATAAAAAAAAGGGCAAAAATTTTTCCGTGATCTTTCATTCCCCTTATTATATTTCCTACTCTCCCCCATAGAAAAACTCTAAAATTCTGCTTGTTTCTTTTTTCCTTTTTCATGTTATCTTGAACCTAGTCTAATTAGGCTTTTGTTCCTGACAAAAGCTAAATTGAAGATACACTTGTCCAATTTCTATTTGTTTCTGATTTTGGTCCTATGTATCTTTCATTTATTGTTTATTATCATTTATCTTTCAGGATCTACTCTCTCCTGTGTCTTTTGCCACTCCTTTCACTGGCTTCCCCTCTCAGTCTCTTTTCCTTAGCCTCTAGCATGTCCCCTGAACGTCTCGTGTGTTCGGAGCTGGGACTTGGAAGGTGTTTGGATCATGGTCCCGTGATACTCATTAGCGGGTTAATCCACTGGGGAGTTCAGAGCCGAATGTGCTGTTAGGAGGCGGAGTCTGGTCAGAAGACGTGGGTCACCCAGAACGCAGCCTGGAAACTGTCACAGCCTCCTCCTTTCTGCTTTCTGGCTGCCACCAGCGAGCAGCTTTCCTCTGCTGTGCCATTTCTGCCTTGTGGGGAGCCAGCCATGGACCGAACTCTCTGAAACCATGAGCTGAAATAAACCTCTCCCTCTTCAGGTGTGGGTGTCAGGTATTTTGTCTCAGTGATGGCAGAGTGACTGATACACTTACTATGGGCCTGGCTGTTCCTCTCTGTTCCTACTCACATCCTTGTTGATCTCTTCTGGTCTTTATGGGTGTAAATACTGCAACTGCATTGACTATACCCAAGTTCATATTTCTGGCCCTGGCTCCTTATGTGACTTCTAAGCTCATATATTCAATTACTTGAATATTTCACAGTTCATTATGCTTTGTGTCAGTAGCACTGCCAGAAAGGGGAGGGCATCAATTTTGATAAGTTGAGATGAGTCCATTTCTTCAAGATGTTCTATTTTTAAGTGTAGATTTATGCACAATATTAGGTAATTTTGTGCAGTTTTCTCTCTTTTTTTACTTCATATCCTTTCTTTTTGTTACATGATTTGCCAGATACAGGTCTGAAGTTGGCTTATTTTTTTATTAAGATTTACTGGATACTTACAATAATTTAGAATCTATTTTAGCTATTTTCAGATATATAATTTAAGTAATTTAGTGTGATGAGGAAAGAGTTTTTTCTTCTGATCACTTGAAAAGATGTTGA